TTGGCTTATAAAAAGACCACAATCCTCTTTTTTTATATTAGCTAATTTGTTCTACCAAACAAAAACTTGTACCTGGTGACCGATATTTGTTATTTCTATCAACTTATGTATACTGTATTTGCTACATCAATATAAGCCAATTAACACAGCAATTTGAATAATTAATTAACCTAAAGATTATTGAAATCGTCACGAGGTGTTCAGAAAACCCGACGATGGCGCACTCAATACAAGACCAAGGCGTAGTACGTGGAGATAATCTACCACCAGATCAATGGGAGACGCTATATACTTTTGATATAGACATCAATAACACAATGTATATATTATTCAAAAGTGTTCCTAATTGTGCAAATATAATGATGTGTTTATAACCCTCTTTATTAGAACGTAATAATGAAATGCCATTCAATTTCTCAGAGTCACCCTCGAAAACGTCACTATGCCCACGTATAACCACCGTAACTAACTGACTGTAACTGGCTGTAACTGACTGACTGTCAGACTGGATAGAGTAAGATGTTACCTCCATAGGATCTATTTATAAACTAGCAAGTTATTGCGCTGATAAAACAAACGCATGGAAAAACAATGGATTCATATTCTGACGCACAAATAAATTATACACCACGATTTTCCAATCATTTTCTCACGAGTAAAATCAATGTACCGCATGTACCATGTAGTGTTTTTTAGAAGACCAAATAATTCTTTCAAATAGTATACAAGTTACTCATTCAACTAAATTCTTCATGATGAAAAACTCGTCATTCATGATTCATGTGTCGCATGCAATCTGAAGTATGACACCTACCATTGTTATCAATCTGCGTCATGTAAAATATAAACATAAGCATGCTGTTCACATTTTATGAAAAATATTTCCGAAAAACACTGATAAATCAAGAAGGTTCGGAATTATATACCCGTGTTAGGTTAGTAATTGGAATTTGCGTTGAGCAATCATCTGATTCCGAGCAACACCAAAAACATGAAACAAATTAGTCTGATGAGTGCTGCCTTACCTATCGGAAAAATGTCTAGCATTTACATTTTGCGCTGGTGGTTAAGTTCGATATCTTGTCGTCAACGCTGAGTGCGCTTCTGTGTAAGTGACCTGGAAACCAGCCGTTTTGCCCTGCCTTCTTTTCAGTGCGTGTTGCGTGTTGAATACAAACTCGGGGCAACCAACCAACCAATTATTGTTATACAAACTTAATTATGGTTGGCATGGTATTAACTTTTGTCATGAAAACTAGGCTCAGAAAGAAAAGGATAGGCCAGATTGGTCATTGGTCATGCGTTCGATTCCCTCGCAATTTCCCTGAACTCATTCTTGAATCATCTTACTTTTGTTTAACGTATCATTCGTTATTTTGCATACAAATCTGTACACTTACAACTCAAATGAATTGAACAATCAAGTAAATGTACAATAACCTAGTCACTAACTGAACTGTGGCGGCGCCACCATCGCATTGACCGCCTTTTAACACTGACGGCCCACAGTCTCCGTTACAATGTTTTAATTCACGTAATACTGAGTTAATACTGAAAATTATCTTGATTATAAGTGTAAACACAGGCTTATATGTCAGGCCACAGAGCCAATATGCATGCCAATACCATGCACAGAGCCGACACGATTTGTTTGTTTGAACCCAAATAAATCTTTACACGTGTACACAGAGTTTCAACATTAATATATTTGACCCATGTTCATTCGGCACCACAATGGTCATTTTTACTCAGTTCATGGGTTAGACGAATGTGTTCATACTATTGTATTGCGTTCGGACAATTAAAATCTAATAACAACAGAAGTAGGAGCTGTTTAGTCTCATTGCATGTAATAGTGGAACGTGTCGGGTCCGTTATATTCGCATGTACTGATCGATGAATCGGCAAAAAGATCAACGTTAAGTTGAAATCACTTTTACGACTAGTAACAGTGGCCTGATCCAGCAAAATGTATGGGGGGGGGGGGCTTCGCTTAAAATATACGGAGCGTAAATCGCAGAGAAGCTATGCGTAATCCAGATGATATGAATCGTCATGGTCCCCCTCCCCCACCCTCTGGATCCGCCACTGAATGGTACTAGGGCTTCACTGAAATCTACTGTACAATGAGACACCCGATATAAAAAGAAAATGTATGAAATTGACGAGACACCATCAAAAAAATTACAATGTTTATTAGATCATATTTGCAAAATGTATACGTGCTACTCACTTCTGTACACCTTTCAATAAGTAGAGCTCTTTAGCTCCGAAGCGCTTTTGTCACGTAAAACGACATTGACAAGCGTGAGAATTAAATTGACAACTTAGCTGTGATGTCATTTGACATTTTTTTTCTTGTCGGGCGATCTTATACAAAAACCATATCGACGTGCTTTACACCTATTCTCACGCCACAGAAGCGTTTCGTCGCTAGGGGGCGCAACTTATAGAACATAATGTGTAATTTTCCCAGTTTCTGCTGAAAAGTGTTTGAAATGTAGCGAAGAAGGTGACACATTCCAAGGCACTACACTTTTGTATTGTGTAATTGTTCGAACATAAGCGCATTGTGTTGCAATCATATAATCAGCATCTGGAGATATGTGTACTTCCTTGTTATTAAAATAATTATATTGTCAGAATTTATTTTTATTGATAAATTAAAATCAGTATCCAGAATTCAGGGTAAAATTCAAGTCATGTATTAACTTTAGTGAAGTGTATTTATTTATAAATCAGATATTGACAGCGATGATTTTTTTTTATCAATGAGAAAATTGTTAATTTTATATAGTCTTCAACAAACATTAATATTATAAACATTAGTTCGCCAATCTATTCAGCATAAAACAAAAACGACACAGCGCATGACCGGAAACTTAAAATGTCGGATTTTGTTCAATGAAAAAACAAAAAGTAATCATAATTAATATCGACTGTTGGCATTACAAAACAATATGATGCCGCTAACTGAAAAAAAATACACACGCGCAGCACCATCAGCGACGGCGATGTGTACACATTAGTAAGATATAAAACATAGAAAATTTGAATCTCAGTTTCTGCGTGAATTATACCCGGAGACTGAGCATGCGTAGAAGTTTTAGTTCATTCAACTGTTATCTACACCAAATAATACGATAATAATGTAACCAACTCTTAAATATCGACGGTTTATTTCATAATTATAATTAGACTGAAACAGCGAAGTTTCAACATTACGGTGAACTTAACACGCCCGCTAACCTATAGTTGGACGTCACTTACCATGTGACTTTACTAATTTCATACTCTTGTCCATAGAACAGTCACGGTATTATCAACACTTTGTTAGTTAGAGATGATGACGCATCACAGCACGCAAACATTTACAACTCCAACGGAAAGCCAGAGATATCTTCGGGCGTTTCGATTTCCATGATGATCGCTCAGTTTATTAAACACCGTGTCGCATAAAGAACAATATGCAGTGTATTGTTTTGAGTAAATTGTTTCTGTATTTCAAATGAGGGCATACTTATACAAAGGTGTAATATCCGTCCAGAAAAATTCCTGGCGTTAGACAACTTCTTTGCTCAGACTATATATTTAAAGGACCGGATTAAAGGGAGGTGGTCGCCACGCAGCGCGTGTTCGATTTTTGTGTGAACAGACAATATATTTGAACGTGTTGTACACGTCGCTATGACAACCATATCGAACACGACGCAAGGCGACGACTTCAACTATTTCAAGAGATTAAAGCTCCGTATCGTCGCGATGAGTCGTGTCCGATAAGCGCCCAATAAGGACGTGTACACCCACCTGTTTGTTTACACTGAATTCAAACGCGATCTGCGTGGCATGGCTGTGGCACCTTGAATGTGAAAAGTGGTCCGACTTTCATACGTTATTTAGTTTATTAATACTTGACACCCAATTTTAAACCTTAGTGCCGGATGAAAATAATTGTGCAGTTCAAAACGAAGTACTTTTAAATGTCACGCGTTTGTCTCATATATATATATATCAAGGTATGTATCTTTAATTTATGTCGACATTCTTGGGTGAATTGTTTAAGGCATTGAATAGTTTTATATAATAAATAGTGTGGCATGATGTGATGAGTTAAGGCTCTCGTGGCAAACATCTTCGCATAAAGTTAGTATCATGATGTCGCGAACACAACAGAATCAGTGCGGGCCACACGTTTAAAGAAATTTCGGCCGGCGTTTCACATCAATGTTGCATTCACTTGTATCTTCTGATATGCATGTGGTCATCGACTCCTTGTAAATCGGGAAATGTTCGTCATCCTACCAGACGATAATATAGCGCCGTATGCGTCAAAGATTTTCGTTCCCGCGCCGCAGTATGGAAACAATCCCGTGAATATGTGAGTCGCCGTCGGACTCTTTCCGTCGGTTTCCTTCCGTCGGATTCGTTCCGTCGAATACATTTGAACATAACGAAGGCAATACAATACAATAATCCTATACACAGCTGTAATCGTGAATCTGGATTCGATTCCAACTGAATGTATCAGAATATAACTTGCGTTGCGTTGCTTTTCAATAGAATAGCGGCTTTACCGTTGGACCACTGAATGTTTGTGGAATGTCCAGCATTTGTGCGTTCTTGTGGAATATTCCTTTACATGAATTTCAATTCGTGATATGAACTTTCAAAGCTCGTATTTGGCAGTATACGCGAGTTTACGACTGATACACCGCTGCATAATAAGCATTAGCTATAAACGCCTTAGCCAGAACCAACATAGCATTCGCTCAATCAAGCATTTGGAAAACAGTTTACAAAATGTACTTTTTTTTTGTAATTCACTGGTAAATCTAGCCTGACATGACCGGCGATAGTTATTGCGCCCTCGCCGACGGTTTTACTCGGACGCAAACTAGTTTAACTATCGCCGATCACGTCCGGCTATGTATGGTACATCGTACTGAACGTGTAATTTAAAATATAACGGAGAGCTAGTAAATATGCGCCCTCTACGTTGTTCAAAGAAACTCGTTACGTTGTCTCTTTTCATCCATGAGAAGAGACGGCCAGTAGATCATATTAAAGATAAGAAAGCAGACCGGGAAGAGAAGTCTGGAACAGCGGTCAACGTAAATGCCATGACGCTTCCTGCGTGTGTTTATTCTCTGTTTTTCTATGTCCTTCTCTGATGTGGAATTAGGCGCGCGCAAGTTCAAAGTCTGCATTTCATGTTGGTTCATACGCTGCTGTGCTCTTTTTCTGTTTTTCCTCCTCAGAATCTTTTTGTATAATATCTGAAAAAAAGAGAAACGAAACTTACTATAACAATCGGGCTGCAGCTAGTGCAGTAATAAAACATACACATTCCATAGTACATCCAGAGTCACGCCAATATATTCGATTGCCTTCAAACTAATATTGGTGTTACCCACACAGAATGCTGGTCATTCATGTGCGGGAAATACAACTTAATCTTAACTTGGTCGGCTTATAAAGGCTGATTGGTTTTGTGCGGCGCCCTCTTTCGGCTGAGAGAAGAAAGCGAAAGTTCCAATTTACCTTACAAATGCTGTCGTTATTGTATTCGTCCAACGTAATGAGATGGTGGACCATGGCGTACTCGAGTAAAGAAGCAACAACAAACATCAAACAAACCAACATCCAGACGTCTATAGCCTGTAATATAAAACGTGGAAATATATGTACATAATGTATCAACCCTTTAATAGCGTACATACCATAACCACATGTGCGACACGTGTCTTACCATAAAATGTTAAAGGGCGCCACGCATGCGCGAGATACATGGGTCTCATATAAACTCATATTGACTGTTGCGCAGAGCAACGAGTACAAATTGAGACGGTTCGAAGCTTTAATTAGGTATTTTTTAGGTGGTTAGAAGGTATCGAAGGAGTCCTCGGCGGTAATTAGTGCAAGTCGCACCCAGGTATAAACTCATACTTGTGATTTTCATTAGAAGAGCGCATTGGATTGTGGGAAAATCAATGTTTATCAACACAAATGTCGCACATGCGCAGCGCGATGACTGCCGTGCTTTAAAATACATATTATATACATGCCCTCAAGTGACTGTACACATATTCTACACGGCAATTCGTGTTGTCGGTGGGTTAGCGTGGTTGTCAGTGTGCCATTTTTTATCGCCTGTCAAGATCATCGTATGAACACAACGACGAATTAAAGTCGTAACTTCTATTTGTTTAATTGTACAGGGAAATCAAGCACGCCGAGTGGCTGCGGTAACTGTCAAGCAAGTGCCATTGTGAGAATTGATACGGCTATAACGTGACAAGGGTCGCACCATGACCGCACGCACACACGTACGTACGTACGCGCGCGCGCGTGTGGGTGATAATACTCTGCATACTTGAATTTAAGGAATAGAATCGAAGATAGATTTAATTCTCGAGTGAAAAAGTACCTTAGAAATGTGCATGTAAAAAACACATTCCATGCCCATAGTACACCATACCTCTAACAGCTTTTGATATCAGTTCAGTTATACCTTCTGAGTCGAATTAATCACACCTCCCCAATCCTACACGCCATAATTCATAGGATATTTTAGTATTTATAAACGACATATATAAAGCGTGACGCGAGTATTATTATCTAATAGTATTATTAATATTTTTTCTTGTTGTTTTTAACTCCCGTGTGCTCCCGTTTCGATGAAACATGGTACATAGATGCTCTGGGCCAATGCACAGATTTGATTAGGTTTTGGTAAAAATCCATGCATATTAATTACCTAATTTGAATGATAATTAGCTAATTGTTAGCTGTTCCATGCCTGTTCCACTGATATCTAAAGAACCAGTCATTGGATTTTGATGAAACTTGATACATAGATGTTCTAAACTAATGCGCAGATTTGATTAGTTTTGAGTGAAAATTCGTGCATATTAATTAGCTAGTTTGCATAATGATTAGTCAATTTTTGGTTTTTCCACTGATATCTCAAGTACTAATCATCATATTTCAATGAACCTTTGTACATAGATGTCATAGGACACTGCACATACCTGATATTTTTTTGGGTAATATCAGTACATATTAATTAATTAATTACCTAATTTACATAATTAATTAATTTTCAACTTTTGATATCATCGTAATCATCACATTCCAATTAAACTTTGTACATAGACACTCTAGGACTATGCAGAGATTGATTGTTTTGGAGTAAATATGTGTGCACATTAATCACATAATTTGAATAATTAGTTAATTTTTAACTTTTCCACTGATATCTCAACTACTAATATTCATATTTTAATGAAATTTGATACATAGATCCTCTAGCATATGCAGGGAACATATTAGTTTTGGGGTGAATATTTGTGTATATTAATCACCTAAATTGCATAATTAGTCATTTTTTCAGCTTTTCCACAGATATCTCAAGTACTAATCATCACATTTCAACTTGGGACATAGATGCTGTAGGCCTATGCAGAGACCTGATTAGTTTTGGGGTAAATTATTGTGCATATTAATTATCTAATTTGCATAACTAACCAATTTCAACTTTCACTCTGATATCTCAAGTACTATCATCACATTTCAATAACATTTGGTACATAAATGCTCTAAGACAATAGACAGATCATGATTAATTTTGGGTTAAAATCTCTACATATTAATTACCTAATTTGCATAATTAAAAATCAATTTTAATCTTTCACACTGATATCTACAGGACTAATTATTCCATTTCAATGAAACTTGGTACGTAGATGCTCTAGAGCAATGTGCAAACCTCTTGGGTTAAAATCTGTTCATATTATTTTCGTAATTAGCATAATAATTTATAATTTTTCACATTTCAATGGTACATAGATGGCCTGTTACATTGCGCAGACCTTATTAGTTTTATATTCAAATCTGTTCATATTAATTACCTGATTCGGATAATTAATTTTTCCATCAATATCTCAAGTACAATTAATTTTTAATTAATGTGTCTCCAATACTGTCAGCACACGGGAGTTCTTTCTAAGCTTTCTTTGATTCAGTTTTCAAATTGAATCACATCAACGCAACCTATCGAGTCGCATTCTTCACACTGATTGGAGCTGTCGATCAATCAAAAAACGGAAGTATTGTGATGGACACTTACGATAACACTTGCTGACGTATGCCCGCTTCTTGTATTGCGATAACATCGTACAATACAAGTAATCAGAGCGGGATTTCCTGACGATTGCACGGATTCCACGCGTCGAATTATTCCATTCGAAATTGCTATGACTGATAACAGTGATCTGAAATATTCGGAAGTCTGAGAAAAATGCGCCTATTAAACGTTGCTTGTTATTACAACACAAATTGACGACAACGGATCTTATCGTCGTCTCGTATCGACAACGTCTTATATGGGTTAGTCTTAATGAGACAAGAGCTGCGTGGCCTTGGAAATAAATTGTGCCGAGATTAGGAACGAGCTACACTACGCTGTGTCACGTAGAATGAGGCATTTTTATCAGAAACGAACTTTCCCAATATGATTATTGTTATATTGATTAAAAATAATTATAAAGAGATGAAGATAGCCTAGTATGAATTGAAACAAACTTTATCTATTTTACAATGAATTGTACTCAATATAAAAATAACGCATATGACTCAACAAAATTGGAGAATACCTGGAAATTTTTCGAAAAAATGGTGATTGCAATGTAGTTACAATTGTTGCTATGGCGGAGATAACATGCTATATCGAACGTCGTAGGCTAGTGACATAGGGTAAAAACAATATATGGATACTTTTTGTTTGCCTGAATTATTTCCAAAATTTAGATTTTAATAAATTGACAAAAATATAATTTTTCTTTAAAGGATACAATATGGACGAAATGATGATGACTCCCAAATTGCATTCTGATTTGTCTTCAACAAAAAAACTGATGCTTTTGCACACACGCGCACTGGTATACGTTGTGTGACAAATGAAACCACGCTAATACGCATGCGCAGTGATTTTTATTGTACGTATTAATTAATTAGAGAACGGTATTGTTTTATCAATGATAAATAAGCTGTGTTCTACAAGAACAACGTTTCAACAAATCATAATCAATGGAATCATCAACATACAGTACCACATGGTAATGTTACAAATTACATTTTCTTATCTATATTTCATCTTTAACATTGCGCCCTTAGGAATTGCTCTAAAAATTACAATTTTTGAACACAAATTAATGCTTCTTCAAGTTACCGTAAAACCATACCTCCATGATTGTACAGAATCAACCAATGAATATTCATGACTAACACAATTATGAATAGCCATCTGCATTAACTTCATTAAGACAATATATATATATATATATATATATATATATATATATATATATATATATATATATATATATATATATATATATATATATATATATATATGTGTGTGTGTGTGTGTGTGTGTG